TTTTGTTAGTTTTAGTTGATTTTCTTCTTCCATGTGCAGAAGCTTTTGTTTTTGGTGTTGTCCCAATCATTTATTTTTGCCTTTGTTTCCCTCTCCCCAGAAGACCTATCTAGAAAGAAGTTGCTACAGCCAGTGTCAAAGAGGTTATTGCCTGGGTTTTCTTCTAGGATTTTACAGTTTCAGGTCTCATATTTTGATCTTTAATCCATTTTGAATTTATTTTTGTGTATGGCATAAGGAAGTGGTCCAGTTTCATTCTTCTGCATGTTGCTGTCCAGTTTCCCAAACACCATTTGTTGAAGAAACTGTCTTTTTCCCATTGAATATTATTTCCTGCTTTGTGGAAAATTAATTGACCATATAGTTGTGGGTTCTTTTCTGGATTTTCTATTCAGTTCCATTGGTCTATGTTTCTACTTTTGTGACAGTACCATAATGTTTTGATCACTACAGCTTTGTAATATAACTTCAAGTCCAGAATTGTGATGCCTCCAACTTTGTTTATATTTTTCAAGGTCACTTTGGCTATTCAGGGTCTTTTTTGGTTCTGTACAAATTTTAGGATTGTTTGTTCTAGCTTTGTGAAAAATGCTGGTATTTTGATAGGGGTGGCATTACATGTGTGAATTGTTTTGGGTACTATAGACATTTTAACAAAATTTCTTCTTCCAAATCTATGAACATAGAATATTTTTCCATTTCTTTGTATCATCTTCAATTCCTTTCATCAGTGTTTCATAGTTTTCAGAGTACAAGTCTTTCTTCCCCTTGGTTAAATTTATTCCTAGGCATTTTATTGTTTTTGGTGCAACTGTAAATGGGATTGTTTTCTTAATTTCTCTTTGTGCTGCTTCATTATTGATGTAAAGCAATACATCAGATCTCTGTATGTTGATTTTGTATCCTGTGACTTTACTGATTTCATTTATTAGTTCTAGTAGTTTTTTTCTTTGTGGAATCTTTCAAGTTTTCTATGTATAGTATCATCTTATCTTCAAATAGTAAAGTTTTCCTTCTTTCTTGCTGACTTGGATGCCTTTTGTTTCTTTTTGTTGTCTGATTGCTGTGGCTAGGACTTCCAGCACTATGGTGAGAGTGGACATCCTTGTCTTGTTCCTAACCATAGAGGAAAAGCTTTCAGTTTTCCCTCATTAAGGATGATATTAGCTGTGAGTTTTTCATATATGGCCTTTATGATGGTATGTTCCCTCTAAATCTACTTTGTTGAGGGTTTTTATTATGATGTATGTTGTACTTTGTCAAATGTTTTTTCTGCATCTATTGAAATGATCATATTGTACCTATCCTTTCTTTTTTAATGTGATGTATCACATTGACTGATTTGCAAATATTGAACCACCCCTTGCAATCCAGGAATAATCCCACTTGGTAGCGGTGAATGATTATTTTAATGTATTGTTAGATTCAGTGTGTTAGCATTTCATTGAGAATTTTTGCATTTATTTTCATCAGGGATATTGGCCTATAGTTCTCTTTTTTGGTGGTGTCTTTATCTGGTTTTGGTATCAAGGTAATGCTGGCCTCATAGAATAAATTTGGAATTTTTCTTTCCTTTTCAATTTTTCTGGAATAGTTTGATAAGCTTAAGTTAAGAAGGTATTAACTCTTCTTAAATTATTTGGTAGAATTCCCCTGGGAAACCATCTGGCCCTGGAATTTTGTTTGTTGGGAGTTTTTTGATTACCGATTCAATTTCTTTGCTGGTTATTGGTCTGTTCAAGTTTTCTATTTCTTCCTATTTCAGTTTTGGTAATTTATACAGTTCTAGGAAGTTATCTATTTCTTCCAGGCTGTCCAATTCGTTGCCATATAGTTTTTCATAATATTTTCTTATAATTGTCTGTATTTCTGTGGTGTTTGTTGTGATCTCTCATTCATGATTTTATTTATTTGAGTCCTTTCTCTTTTCTTTTTGATAAGTCTGGCTAAGGGGTTATCAGTTTTATTAATTTTTTTTCAAAGAACTAGGTCCTGGTTTCATTGATATGTTTTAATTTTTTTTTAGTTTCAGTACCATTTATTTCTGCTCTAATCTTTATTATTTTATTCTTTCTGCTCGCTTTAGGCTTCATTTTTTTGTTCTTTTTCTAGCTCCTTTAAGTGTAAGGTTAGGTTGTTTATTTGAGATTTTCCTTGCTTCTTGAGGTAGGCCTGTACTGCTATATACTTCCCTCTTAAGACTGCTTTTGCTGCATCCCAAAGTTTTGGGATCATTGTGTTTTCATTTTCATTTGTTTCCATGTATTTTTTTAAATTTCTTCTTTGATTTCCTGGTTGCCCATTCATTCTTTAGTAGCATGTTGTTTAACCTCCATGTATTTGTGGTCTTGCCAGATTTTTTCTTGTGATTGATTTCTAATTTCATAGTGTTATGGTGCATAGTATTACTTCAATCTTTTTGTATTTGTTGAGGCCTGTTTGTGACCTAATATGCACCCTATTGGGAAAATCTTCCATGTTCCAAAAGAATGGGTATTCTGCTGCTTTAGGATGGACTATTCTGAATATATTTATTAAGTTCATCTGGTCCAGGGTGTCATTCAAAGCCACTGTTTCCTTGGTTATTTTCTGTTTAGATAATCTGTCTATTGCTGTAAATGGGGTGCTAAAATCCCCTACTATTGACCTAGAAGCAGCTTCTAGGCTCCTTCTGGAACCTCTGTCAGGTTCAGTCTACTCCCCTCCACTCCAGCCTCCACTCTGGCCTCCACCATTCCATCAGGGTGACCCAGAAGTCCTACAAGATGTCCACCTCCAGCCCCCGGACCTTCAGCAGCCTCTCCTACACGAGCGGGCCTGGCTCCCACATCAGCTCCTCTGCCTTCTCCCAGGTGGGCAGCAGCAGCAGCAGCTTCCGGGGTGGCCTGAGCAGCAGCATGAGTGTGGTCGGGGGCTACAGCAGTGGGGTCAGAGGTGTGGGGGGCATCAGGGCTGCCTCATTGAACGAGAGCCTGCTGAGCCCCCTTAAGCTGGAGATGGACCCCAACATCCAAGCTGCTGGCATCCAAGAGAAGGAGAAGATCAAGACCCTCAACAACAAATTTGCCTCCTTCATCGACAAGATGAGGCACCTGGAGCAGCAGAACAAAATTCTAGAGACCAAGTGGAGCCTCCTACAGCAGCAGCAGAAAAGTGTTTGGTGCAACATAGACAGCATGTTTGAGAGCTACATCAGCAACCTCCGGTGGCAGCTGGACACCCTGGGCCATGAGAAGCTGAAGCTGGAGGTGGAGCTTGGCAACATGCAGGGGCTGGTGGAGAACTTCAAGAATAAATATGAGGAGGAGATCAAAGAGCGTGCAGACATGGAGAATGAATTTGTCCTCATCAAGAAGGATATGGACGAAGCTTACATGAACAAGGTAGAGCTGGAGTCCCGCCTGGAAGGGCTAACCAATGAGATCAGCTTCTTAAGGCAGCTGTATGAAGAGAAGA